ACTAAAATCTCAGCCCTGCTGCAGGTAGATGTCTCTGGTGAGACATCAGCAGACTGGGGCTGGAAAAGCAGAAAACAGGATCTCATCCCGAGTGTAGCTGCTGCACACTACTGCCTCTCCAGAGGCTCTCATCAGGCAGAAAAAAACATCCTGCTTGTTTTGGTTGCGTATCAGAACTCAGATATTGAAGACAGGGCTCGAAAACAGCTGTCATCACTGAAGTTGCAGTGTCACACTGGGAGTTCATTGCTGCTGATGGGTTGTTTCCTTTACCTGAGAAGGACTCAGTGTAGCGCAGGAGGCCTTCGAGATGAGCATCTGGTGATGTGCAGTAGCTCACGATTTCTAGAAACTCTGGGGCCAGGAATGAATCCTTGCATCAAGGGGAGGATGATTTAAAAAAAAAAAAAAACAAAAAACGGAGAAACAGTTAGCTCATGCAGGCTTTTACAGCCCAACAAGGAAACAGACTTCCAGACAGCCATGGGAAACTATGTAGAGTCTAGGGACCAAGGCTGATAGCCACACTTGGGTTATTTATATGACAGGAAATGCAGAATGTTATTTATTTTCCTTGGTGGGTGGTTGCTTGCTTGTGTTCATGGGTGTTTCTAAGTATAACTGGCCAGATTTATCCTTGGCACGATGGGAGAAGAGCCTGGCTCGTGTTTTGGACACATAGCAGGTAAGCGCAAAGTCATTCTTAATAGTTAGCATTTTGTCATGGCTTAGGCACAACAGAGTGATTAGGCTCTGCTGTGACCGCTTCCCCACGAGACTGTGACAGACAACAGCAGAACTTGCTACTAGAGCACCACGGAACACTAAGTCTGTGAGAACTTGTTTGCACGCTACTGCTGATCTGTAGTAATATCCAACTGGGGAAGCCTTTGGTCTTGCAAACATAAGCAAATTGAAATTCAGCGCAGCCCACAACAAAGAGGGCTAGCTTGCATTCGTCTGGGGTCTATACATGCAAGCAGCTTGCTGCCACCCCTCAGCTGATACCCAGGAACTTGTCTATGTTAAGCCCCTAAGTGCTGACTTCTGTTGGCTGTTCCTGAGACTCCACTCACTGTGTTTGCTGCAGTGATGCTTTAGGCCTAAATTACCAATCGTATTCTGAGCCCAGTACTGGGTGCTGGGGCAGCTTTAATAAATAATTACCCTCATCTGGCTGTAAACCAGGCAGAATCTTGCCTGGAGAATATGCTAGGCTGTGACAGTCACTTTACTTTTAAATCAGTCCAGCTCCAGAACTGTGCAGGAGCCTGAGGAGAAGAGGGCTTCCTATTGCAAAAAATGAACTCAAGCAATTCCTTGGGTGCAAAACAGATTCCAAACATACTGTCTACCTGCAGAACATACACTTCTGGGTGCTTTGGTTTGTAACACTGTGAAATGATGGCTTTCCGTTCCGCTGACTGATGAATTAACTGTTTTCTTCTCTGCACTTCTGCCTCGACCTGGAATGAACAACAGGGCATCTTGTTAGACAAGCAAAGGCTGGCTGCATCTAAAACAATTCCAGGAACTTGCTCATTGATTTTAAACCAGTTATTTTTTCAGGGCACCTCCAGGAGACAGAGCTTGTGTGCTTTTGCTTTTCTGTGGTCAAGACAAGTGTAATAAAGCTGTGCAAAGTCAAATGCCTAAGAGGGATTTAAAACACATTACCATCAAGGATGTGTTAAAAAATGACCCTGAAGTCTTTCCACGGATGTGTCAAGTGGAGCTGTGAGGTTTCAACCCTTTCAAGCCTTCTGACCCCTCATGAATTGCCAGCTTATGCTTTTATAGGAGTCTGGCTTATGTTCTGGCAATATAATCATTGTCCAAAATGAAGACACTTGCTAGGAGGGAGAAAGGACTGGTCATGAAGGGATTACTATTAAGTGTTGTGGGAACAGACTACTCTGTCATTTCAGAGGAGACAGCTGTAGTAACAGTTGATTCACACAGTTCTTCCTATTTAATAAACCCACGTGAATTAGTTTTAACATTTCATAGCAAAAAAAAAAAAAGGGGGGGGGGAGTGAAACTGGAGCTGGTTCCGTGTCAGATCTCTGTCCCGGGCCTGGAAAGCCAGGCTGCTGAGTAGTGCAGCCCTTCCTTGTTGGGGTGCCCTGGGGAAGAGTTCCTGCTGCACGCCTGAGGCAGTGCCGCCTTCCTTGGCGGACCTTATCTGAACTCTGTAGGATCCCTGGGTGAAAGATGCCATGTCAAGGAACTCTTTAAGTAGTTCACAAAAGGGGGGGATAGGAGAAGAACTAGAAGACAGCTGGGAGCCACATGACTAAAACCAGTTAGGGGGTGGTGCAGGAGTCCGTTATCATAACGTGCTGAATTGCAGCATTTACTTTCAGCGCATCGTCAGCCAATCGGTTCCTGACAACATCCAGCCCTGGCTTCAGGTGCCAGCGTGGAATTTTTGTCTTTGGTCTCCAACACACGCTTTGTATCAGGAAGAAGCAGGGGGAGGCACTCGGAGACAAACCAGGGAAGCGTGTTTCAGTTCTGCCTGGCCCAGCGCCTGCCTCTGGCAAGTCACCCTGGCTCTCTTCAGCCGTCATGTAAACGACCGGCCCCCAAATGCCGGGGACCCCTCCCCTACAGACAGGGGGATCTGCTTAGAAGGAAACCTGGCTGGGATGCTCACTTTTCAGCTCCCAGGAAGCAGGCAGCTCCTCTCCCCTCCTCAGAGCTGGTGAACTGCGATTCACTGAGGTAAAAACCCCCTGAGACCCGAGGGCCCGGCCGGCCCCGCAGGCGGGCGTCGCCAAAACTGACTTTACCTCTCCCAGCACTGCTTGAAAGTCCTCGTCGCTCCTGCAGCCGCGCTCCCTCAGCGCCTGTAACAAACACTCGCTGTCACGAGCCGCCTCCGGGCTCACGAACGTGCGCGTGTAAAAACGACGCCATTTCAGGGCGTTTCTAGTCTGGGCTCTGCGCCCGGCTCTGAGGTACCAGGCGGCGGTCCGCGCGCCGCCCCTCGCCCCG